AACATTTGTTTAGAGCAAAAGCTATATTTGTGTAGAGCAAAGCTATAAACCAAGAGTCTATAAAAATCTAACTGTTCCCTGGCAGTGCACACTTATCTTTTGTATCATTGTTGAGCATATGGCTCTTAATCCAAATATTCAAAGTTTCACAATATTCAAAAAATACATTTTATTCTACGTGGTATTATTCTTTGCAACTAGTGCATGTGCCCATTTTTAAAAGCGTAAGATAATGTTTAATCTGCAAACTGTCTTGAGTGATTCAGCAGCCTATTGTGTCTTAACCAAAAAAACAAAAATCAGCAAGCTTGTGCTGTGAAGAAAGTAAGTAGGATGTTCTACAGAAAAATCTGCTTTCAGAGTTGAGCAAATGAAACAGTTTGCCCATTATTCTATGTATGTGGCAAAATCATCTTGCACGTCTCTCTCATGACATGCCTGTTAGGCTAATACTTCTTCATTATAAGTGGGCTCCATTATGCTATTCTTTCGTTAGTCTGAGCTCTCTCTGTCATTAGACAAGACAGGAGCTACTCTCTGGCTTCAGAAATATTTAATATCCTTTCATGGCAAGGGTGTTTTTGATGGCTGCTAGCAATTTCACTTGAAATAAATTGCTAACAAAAGACATTTCCTTGGGCAAATTTTGACACCAGAAACATAAGCAGGTTCTGCTAAATGGCCAAGCTTGATTTCTGCTCAAGTTGCAGTCTCCGCATATTTAGGTTACAGATATTTCTAATAATGTGATACAATTGGATGTAAGAGTATTATGGTCTTCTTGTGCCATCACCTTCTGCAAATATTTTTGTGATTATTCTTGCTCAGGATTTCACTCAAATTCATTTTTCACTTTATAAATGAGAAGCATTCTTACTGACTTGAAAACTTGTCTATGAGCAAATTAGAAGAAACAAATCTCTCACTTCAAGTTTAGCAGTTAGTTATATAATGCTTAACTCTCAGAATTCTGTGTTAGTCACATTTTCCATCAATGACAATTGAGGAAGTTCAGTAGTTCCCATTAAATTTCATGTAATGCTACTGGCATTGCGGTTTAGCAAATTAAGCCATTGCTTTTTATGCCAGATCACAATCAGAATGTGTGTTTGGGTCCTGACTGCTCTACTTCTGACCCAATCTCTGCTAAAAGTTTAAAAGATGCCCTAAGTACTTGGGCCTCTGCCGACCACAGGGGAAATCCAGACTGATTTTCCTGGTTCCTTAAATAGTTTCCACAAGCCTGCCCTTTAAGGCATTTGAGAAGCAAGTCAGAAAACCTAAGAGTCTCTCCATCTTTCACATAAATAAACAAATTTAAAACAATTTCATGAAATGACAGTTCTAGTTCAATTTTCCTGTGATGAAGTAGCAGCAGGTTATAAATAAAAACATCCATCACAATTATACACCACACTAAAGTTACACAACTATCGAAAAAAATCTCTTTTGTCAATTTACAGTTAAAAAGTTCATTCTTAACATGTCCTCCACTGCTAATTATTTTAGAAGTGTAGTCCTATTAGAATGTGTCTTCTAGCAGTTTTCTAATTATGAAAAAGACATTAGACAGGCATTTGAAATGAAGCTAAGATGCACTTTGAAATTGCTGTATTCCAAACCAAAGGACCTGAATTCATGTCATAACTTTGATTTCCCTTCAAATTAATACAAAGTCTGAGAGACAGCAAGAGATGGCCCAGCCGTTGGGTAGCAGAGTCCACAGGCAACAATGAGAATGAGTTTCAGGCTTATCATTTCAGAATGGTCCAGCTCAGGGTGTTGCAGACTTTTCACAATGAACCTGCTGAGAGATTTCTCTCTCTATTTTGTTCTTTCTTTCTTTTGGCCAAATCAATCAGTGTGACTTATTCACCATGTATAACTCATAAATCTTTCAAACAAATATGAAAAATAGATTGACCCAGGATATTACTCCAGAAATATAAAACATTAATCTGTCATTATAAAACACCACATAGACTACTTCACACTGTTTTAACCCAAAGTCAGAGGCAGACATTAATGCATTTGGGAAGAAAGCACAGAATGGTCACAATCAATCTACAATAAGTGTCACATGCAAAACCATTGCTAGAAGGTGTAATTAGTCGGAACTACTTCTCCTTTCTGGAGAATTCACTTATCAGATCCAAATACACAGGGATATTTTTCCTGTGAAAAAAATTGGAGAGAGGTTAACAATTTCTTTGCAGGGTTTGTTCCATGAACTTGGTTTTCAGATGGACTCACAGGATCCTGAGTCTCCAGAAAACATGTGAGATTTGAGAAAGAAGCAGAGGAGAAAGAGTGGCACTTTTGGTGTTCAACTCTAACAGATAATGTGCCACAATGACTGGGGGAAACAAATGGATAAATCTGCCATGATGTTTCAGGGAGCGATATTCCCTGAGTGTTATTCACAAGATGTCGATCCTAAAGGCATAGAATACACCTGGAAGATCCCTCAGAATTGGGAGAGAGTAAGAGCACTTAAGCAAGAAACAAATCATTGTTTCTTGGTGGGCCATTACAATTACCACTGAATATTTCTGCTCCTGTTCCTAGGATTTGCGTCCTAACTATAAATCCCAGATATGAGAAAATGTTCACTGTGTGTGTGTGGAACAAAAATTCGGAGTGTGTAAAACCTGCAAGCCGTGCTCCAGTTCCACAAAGCATTGCCAACCACCGGCAATGCAAGTGAGTCAACAATAGGCCATCCCATCATTCTATCATCAACTTCTGCAGGGTGACAAGAAACATGTTACCGTCTCTGCATTCTATGAGCATGCTCCCACTGAAAGAATCTTTGTTGCTGTGCAGTAAAGTATTTTGTCATTTTTTGAATTAATTAATTTTGATTATTTTTATAATCTTACATAGTTGCTTAGGTTACAAAAGGTCAAGGGCTACAGGAAAGTGGGTAAGACCAATGTTTCCACACTAATCATTGTTTTTTTCCCCTGTATCTGTATTCCTGTCTTCCACACAAATCAATGGTTATTGCAGTCCAGCCCGCTCCTGCCCATTTCATACTCGGCCCTCACACAAATCAGTGGGAGCTACAGCTGCACTGAAACCCCAGTATGGGATTTGGGCACCCCAAGAGGCAACCTAATTCACTGCAGTCTACTTCTAAACCTATTTCTTTTTTCAATATGGCCTTTTACTTCAGTAAATAATATCTGGCTTTTGATGCAACAGTTTGTTCAAGGCTCAGGATATCATGTCTCCTGTCAGTTTCAGGTATGAATTCCAGTTACTCCCCCTTAACCAGGTTTCTGCTTTTCAACCTGGGAGGCACAGGTGATGGCTCAATGGCTTGCCTGTCTGCTACTCTTGTGGGGTAGCAGTTCCAGGTTCAGGTCCAAGCTCCTGGCTTTGACTTGACCCAGCCCTCTCAGTCGTTTTGGGAATGAACTAGTTGATGAATAGAAGGAAAGCTTTATCAATGACACAGTGTATATATAATATTGTGGCAGGAATTAGGCAGACAGAAAACTACAAGCAATTTTACTGCTTTTTGAATATTATCATCTGCCCATGCAACATCTTTATTATAATATTAACTTTTGTTTGAAATTTTTTATATTGATCACACTTAGACAATAAAATGATGACTATATCTACTATTCTTGGCTACATTATTTTTTCTGATAAGTAAAGAGTTTGAATGAGGATGCTAATCTAGTAGACATAGAACACTACCTAATTTACTGAGAAAAATGCAGATTCAGTGCTGGTGCTGTGGCATAATGCAGTAAGCTGCCACCTGCAATACTGGTGTGCCATATGGATGCTGGTTCTATTCTGGACTGTTCTACTGCTGACCCAGCTCCCTTGAAATGGCTTAGAAAGGCAGTAGATGATGGCCCTAATGCTTGGGGCTCTGGTCTCACATGGGAGACCCAAAAGAAGTTCCTGGCTTCTCTTTCTCCTCCCAGGTGTAAGCACAGCTCTAATCACTGTAGCCATCTGGAAAGTGAACCCGGCAGGGAAGATCTCTGTTTCTCCAGAAGATGCTGTGGCAAGCATAGATTATTGTTGACTCTAATTTCACTTTTAACACCTATGTATGATTTTAGTTATTTTGAAACATACAATGTGAAGTTATGTAGTATTGTCACCATCATGCATGCAAGTATATCAAAGCATCACATTGTGCTACATAGCTGTATAAATACATGCCAGGATAACATATCAGTTCAATGTTTAAATAAGCTTAGTTTTCAAACAGTGCTAGAATTGAAAAACTTTGACCATTTTCTGTGGAAACTTTCTATAATGACATGATCTCTTCATAATATATATTGAGTGATGAGTCGTCAACATTAAGATCTTTTACGCAAAGTTTTGTTCAAAGGCAAAATGGCAATTAGTGAAAAATGTATACTTCCCTTCAGGTGTGATTTATAAAGCCTAATGTAAATCCATAAGTCATAAACCATTTGAAATTAAGGATGTCTATATAAATATAATTTTTCCCAAACAGGAATATGTTTTAATGACAATCTTTGATCTTTGCAGAAAGTAATCTATCATATTATTAATCCTAATGAATAATTATCAACCTAACTTTGTCCTTATTATATTCTCAGATTCTTCACATCACGCGTTCGAGATTTAATGCAATCACTATTTGTTTATGTTTTACTCTCGGTGTCTAATTTAGTAAACTTATTTTCCTTTTAAATGCCCTAAAATTTTAAATCTCAGCGTTCTATTCATAAATATATTTGAAACACTTTCTTTTAAAGGAAAAATCTAAATTTTGCCTCAGATTTAACTCACTCTGATCCATAATTATGGTTGTTTCAAGATTTTGAGCGCCGTAAAATTGAAACATATATTCTCCCTCCCTCAGCAAAAATTAATTTGACTATTAAAATCCTCGTTGTAATTATGCTACGCGGAGACAAACTGATATATGCCAAAATTATTTTTTCACAATAAGATTGCATGTATTTACAGATTTGTTCTTTTGTACTTCTTTGAAGCTTCACACTGACCAAGATAAAGGAGATGGAAATTTAAAATACATATTAACAGGAGATGGGGCTGGCAGTCTCTTCGTTATAGATGAGAATACAGGAGACATACATGCTGCAAAGAAATTAGACAGAGAAGAGAAGTCCCTGTATATTCTTCGTGCCAAGGCAATAGACAGAAAGACCGGGCGCCAGGTGGAGCCAGAATCTGAATTCATCATTAAAATCCATGATATTAATGACAATGAACCAAAATTCACCAAAGACGTATACACTGCCAGCGTTCCTGAAATGTCTGCAGTTGGTAGGTATATATTAATTTCTGTGAACTATTTTACTGGCTTGCTTGCTGTAGTAAATATTTTCACATTTGACTGTTACATTTGGCCTCTTCAGAACTTCTGTTAGGTGCACACAATCCCATTCTTCACTATGTTTAATTGTGTATACTTCAGTGTCTCCTATTAGGCTTGTAAAATATCTAAAGTTATTATCGAGATTAGTTACTCCATTACACTTCATTCAACATGCTTGCCTCTATTCAAGTGATCAAATGGAAGTCAAATGGAAAATATCTTGCCTGAACTGAAATTAATGACAGGAAGTGTGAGCATTTTGGGGGAATTTTGTTTGCATTATTTTGAATAATAAAAACTAACGCTTGTATTTGACACATTTCGGGAGAAACACTCTCTCATTTGATCATTAAAATCCTCTGTGATTAGGCATGCAAACAGAACTTCAAACTCACACTTCTTTCAATACAAACCCGGGGCTCATGTAGATTGAGTATTGAAAATAAGGATCAAATAAACTATTAGTAGACTGGTGACAAAAATCCTCCGATAATATTTTTGAATAGTTTACATTATGTAACTCTGCCTGACATGCAAACTGAAAATTATTTCAGGGAACCCTGGTCTTGCTTATTCCTACAGCTAAAACTGGTACTGATTTTAAAAGTAAACTAACCAATGGCCCACTAAATGTTATAGAATCGATGATCTAAGTACTTTTATTGTATTGGCAATTTTTAATAATTTAGATAGTAACAATAATCAAATATGAAAAGAAATATTTTGACTAATATCTAATCAGGTAAGATTTATAAAATATAAGAACAAAACATAGTTTGGAGAAACAAGTCTGATTGAACTGCAAGCCTTACTATAGTGGGAAAAAAATCACCATGTTACTTCTGCTTTGATTCATTGGGGATATGAGCGAATTACTTTAAAATGAAAAATCAGATTCAGGATAGATTATATTAGTAGCTAGTATTTCTCTTTGCACATGGGATAGTGCAGATACTTTCAAATTCAAGTGAGGGATCAGACTCAAAACAAGGGATTCAAGTGTTCATGTTGGGTTCATTAGGAGAAGGGGCAGAGGGGAGGAAAGCTGCTGAATCCATATGTCAATATTCAAACATATCCACATGAAGTTAAATGTTAGCATTCATTTGAATGTATGCTATTCACACCTTTGAATATGTGTAAGCATATGTACAAATCTCGAGGAAGCTTCAAGACAACTTAATTGGAAAAGCTTTTGAATGATATGTAATGTGTTAGAGAAAGGGTTCTATGATTTTTCCTGTCAAGAAATTCTATGTAAGATCAGAATCAAAAATTTAAAAAATGATGTATGTTATATGAGAAAGTACTCCACAGTGTCACTTTGTCCAAAGAAGGCTATGGTAAGCTTCAATTAGCAGTGACTTTATATAGAGATACTGCAAAAATATACAAAAAGTTTGTCAGTCTCACACTTATCTCCTGAAACAAGGTCTTTTAAATCACTTTCATATCTTAAAACAATATGACTTATAATAAAATATATTAATTTATGCAATACAATTTAATGTAATACTAAATTGCAGTGTCACTCTAAAATTGAATATTACTTTCTTCTGCAGAATGCTGAATCTCAAATGTGCAGCAAATAATCAATATATTATAGCAGATCAATAGACATCATCTATGTTATCTATATTCTAATAGCAGTCACTTTGCGAAGAGATAGCATATATGCTCAAAATGTTCATCAGGTTTAGGTCAATTTTGATTCATCATACCATCAGCATCACCTCAGTTGTCATTCAAATTATTAACTTCAATCTACCAGAATAAAGCATCACAGAAAAATATTAAATATTGATCCCATCCTTAAGTACACAAATCAAATTACCAATAGATTCAGTAACAACTTTCATGTATGCTATATTTAATGAAAATGCTTTCTCAAATGTTCTGCTACAGTAATTTTAATACATTAAAACTCAATATTAAACTTATTATACCCAATTTTTGTAACGATATCTTTATTTTAAATAGTTTTCTTAGATATCACAAATGAAAATTTATGAATACTGAAAAACTAAGAATGGTTGAGGAAAGTGATCTTATTTACACATTGGTTAAAACATGTAGAGTGCCCTAACATACACACTAGCAAAATTAAAATAAAGATGGGAAAGTTATTTTCGACTTAAGAAGTATTTACGTGTCTGTGTTTTGGGTGTGGGGGGGGTTATGTAGGCACATCTGTGATACAAGTGACAGCGACAGATGCTGATGACGAAAACTACGGAAACAGCGCCAAAGTCGTCTACAGCATATTGCAGGGACAGCCCTATTTTTCAGTGGACCCTGAATCAGGTAACAGCATTGAGTATCTGCTTTGTCCTTCCTGATTCAACATTTGCATGCATAGCTGCTTTAGAAACATTTCCATATTTTAAAACCCATCCATGAAATGCCAGGCTTCTAATTGTTTATTGTAATTCTTCCTGGAGACAAAAACAAACTTTCTATTCTTTGAGTAAGTTATTTGAAACCTTATTTATTCAACTAGTTATGTAAAGGACTTAAGTGTAAACCAGTCAATACAGAATTTTACAGAAATGCAATATATTCTGCCATATTGAAAATTATTCAAAACCCACAGAAATACAATAATACTAAATATTCAGGATTATTTGGCTGTTGTCTGCTTAGTGTTAATTTTTGTTAATCAAAAGAATAATTAAAATGATTTAGCAAAATCCATTCTATAAAACAGCAGCCTGGCGTACAATCCTTTCTATTCTACAAATCATGTTAATTTTTTTGGTAGATTGAAAACACAGTTAGGGCCTGGCGGCGTGGCCTAGCAGCTAAAGTCCTCGCCTTGAACGTGCCGGGATGCCATATGGACGCCGGTTCTAATCCCGGCAGCTCCACTTCCCATCCAGCTCCCTGCCTGTGGCCTGGGAAAGCAGTCAAGGACAGCCCAAAGCTTTGGGACCCTGCACCCATGTGGGAGACCCAGAAGAAGTTCCTGGTTCCCGGCTTCAGATCAGCGCATCACTGGCTGTTGCACTCACTTGGGGAGTGAATCATCAGAGGGAAGATTTTGCTCTCTGTCTCTCCTCTCTTTACATCTCCCTTTCCAATAAAAATAAATAAATCTTAAAAAAAAATAAAACATTTAGATACATCAAAATTGTATACACTTGTTCATCTGCTTCTATAAAATGAACCTTATCTTGCTTTCATTTTAAAATTCAAAGAATAACTGCTTAACTTTTGTTCACTTTTCAAAAGGCATAATAAAAACGGCATTACCGGATATGAGCAGAGAGAATCGTGAGCTGTACCAAGTGGTTATACAGGCCAAAGATATGGGGGGCCAGATGGGAGGCCTTTCTGGAACCACCACAGTGAATATCAGCCTGACGGACGTCAACAACAATCCCCCTCGTTTTCCGAAGAGTAAGCATGCTTGCTTTGGTCTGGAGAGAAATCTGAAAACACAGCGCTGCTCTAATACTCATTTGCCCAGGGTTACAGTTAGCTTGCACATAAAAACAAGTCCAACAGCCTTTCCCTCCAGAAGAACAAATCTCAGTTTCCTACAGACTGAAAATGGTGATAGATTTTGAGGTCAGAGGATTAAATTTTATGCACCTCTGTCCCCAAATCTTGAGGATAGATTTCAAGAGCTCCAATCTTGAAGATAATTCACTAAATTAGCAGCATAGAGAAGCACTGCAAAGATTAAGTAGATTAGCACTGCTGATTTTTTTATTATATTAGATTATCATATGCAATAAAGTATATTTAAAATATTCACAGATTTAACTTTTTTAAAATATATTTTCTTCTTCTTGTTGTCCTATGATTAGAAAGGCACAAATGCTTGCAGGAACAGTAAAATACAATGTGATTGGATGTTACTCCACATAACAGAAATATCCAAATTGTGCTTAATCCTATGAAGATTAAAACAAGCAGGAAAACAGACACCGCTGTGTGTGGAGCTGTTTTCCTATCTCTGGTACAACGCAAATGCATAATTCATGTTCATTTCCTGTTCTTACCTACTTGATATCATGTGAAATGAGCAATGCAAATTTGGAAAGCTCTAGCTCAACATGGAAGTCAAAAGTTCTGGATTCTGATATTAGCCTCGCACTTATTACCTAAATAACCTTGAGAAAATCATTCACGTCACCCTTTTGCAACTTGCATTTCTCACGAGATGAGAGTGTTTAGCCTTTACAGATATCTTTTAACCTAGTAAATCTGTAATTTTTGTCAGCTTGCAGTTCTCTGTAATGAAAAAGAAAAATAGCAATTTAAAATTAATTAAAACAAGATAGGCACAGAGAATGAAAAAGTTCTTGTCATCTAAAGATGAAATGTCAACACTGCTCTGATTTAATTTTCAGAAACATATCAATTTCATTTTCCTGAGTCTGTCCCTCTTGGAACCCATCTTGGAAGGATAAAAGCCAATGACCCTGATGTCGGAGAAAACGCTGAGATGGAGTACAGCATCGCGGAAGGAGAAGGAGCAGATGTCTTTGATGTCATCACTGACAAGGATACACAGGAAGGGATTATAACTGTCAAACAGGTTTCTTTTGGCTGTCTTCAATTTCAAATTGACTGCTCTATAGCTGTTTCTGCTTTTTATTGAAGGAAAGCAAGGCCTGGGTTTTTATTACTTCCATTATCTGATGTTTACCCTACTATAAGTAGAAAGAGTTGTAGTTTCACTTCAAATTAATTAAAGCAACTTTTTAATCAACACTTATTATGTGATATGATTTCTGTGCTTAAAAGAGACAGTACTCAAATTAGACTTGGAAAAACTCAATAGTACTTAGTGTTGTTTCAAGGAAGAACACATAGGCACTTTGCCAACATGATATTCAAGATCTTTAGAAGGTGCTTGATGATAAGTGTGGTGGTCAATTCAAATAAATGAGAGATGCAAATGCCATATACTTTATGTCAGTTTTTCTTAATTTTAATGTAGCATAGAAAACATTCAGAAACTTGACATGGTATAATTTAGCTCTATACTGAATTTTTTACATAGTATTACTTTCATTTATTTAATTCATATATTAATTTCAATAAATACTAAATGAATGAATATCATATACTAATTATCAAGGCTGCTCCTCTTTAACTATATTTTTGATAATAATGATATTACATAATCAATAGATCTATTCTAGAATCCATGATTTACTTCTGACCGAAAGCATTGAAATACAGCACAAAATTGGAACCAATTTTAAAAACTGCAATATTATGTTTAACTCCCTTAAATAGATAGAAGGAAAAATACAAGTTTATTCATTTATCTTGTATACCTATGTACCAATGAGCAAATTATTATATCATAACTTTAAATATTAAGGCAACATGGTTATAATTTTAAATTGTCTTATATTTTACATGATATGCTAATTTTCATATTTTATTTAATTTCAGAATTTAGATTTTGAAAAAAAAAAGTTGTACACTTTAAGAGTGGATGCAAGTAACATTCATCCTGACCCACGGTTTGTACGCCTGGGACCTTTCAAAGATACAGCCATCGTCAAGATAGCAGTGGAAGACGTGGATGAGCCCCCTGTGTTCAGTAAACGGGCATACTTGCTAGAAGTCGATGAGGATGTGAAGGAGGGTAGCATCATTGGCCAGGTCACAGCTTATGACCCAGATGCCATGAACAACTTAATAAAGTAAGTGCTTTGATAAAATAAATAGAAAGCACATTGCTTAAAAAAAAAAAAAGCAGTTGCCTTCTCTAGTTAAAAGCCATGTAAAGAAAACAAACAAACAAAAAATCTTCTCAGTGTGTGATTAAGAGTGGTTACATCAATCAATTCTATTTCCAGAGCCCATTTTCTTTGTTGCATTGCTTCCTGGGTGCTCTGGGGATATTACTGTATTTGTGTCCTATCCTGCTGTAAGGCAGATATCATGATGACATATTTTTCAGAGATAAGAATTAAAAAGTGAAGATTTAAATGTTCTGCCCAACACAGACATAGCTGATTTCCAAATGAACAAGATAATTTCTCTAACTTCAGTCAGAGATTCTAATCCTGTTATTATTGATATGATTGTTGCTTCATTGTTCCTCTTGGTGAAAGTTCAAAGAAAATTAATCTAAATAAACAGAAAAAGAGAGAGAGCGAGAAATTAGACCATTCTCTGTTTCATTCCTCAAACACTTAAACAGATGTTAAGGCTGCCCTGGACAGAAGCCATGAGTAGGAACCCACACTTGTTGGCAGAGACTCTGTTGGCAGAGACTTGCTTGTGGGAATCCCAGCCACAACCTCCCCAAAGCCTCTTTAGCAGGAAGTTGGAATCGAGAGCAAGACTATGGCATGCGATGTGGAGATGTTCATGACTGCCAATGCTTGCCCTTGACCCATTTTGTTTTCAGCTCTACAAACAAGAATTCCATCAACTAATGCTGCATGTGTGCTATATAATATCTGTATGTTATCTTTTAATCTGATTTTATAAAGATATTATTGAGCCACAAATAATTGTAAACATTCAATATGAATTAGCTCATTAACTAAGGTCATTCTCATTACTCTTCCCCTCTCAATTTCTTTGTGTTTTTTGGCAATATCTCTTTTTGATTTAACTCTTCTATATACATTCATATAGGGTTCTGTATAGACACATATCTTATATTTTTAAACATATTTTAATTTATTCAGGTTTTTATTGACCCCATCAAGTCTAACATGAATGTCTCAAACATTAAAATTAGCCACTGTTAATACATGCATTTAGTGAGCGTGGTCATTGTGGCTACAACACTTGGCAATGTCTGTATCCTTTATCACAAAACCAGCTTGGGTCTTGTTGCATTTCTGACCCAGCCTCCTACTGGTGCATCCTGGGAGACAAAAGGGAATGATTCAAGTGTTTTAACACTTTACCGCCCACATATGAAATCTGTCTGCAGCTCTTACTTTGCAGAGAGGTAGACCAGTCGCTGGAAAGCTGATCTCCCTCTCATTTTTCACACACACATACATACACACATATATATATACACACACACACGTCTGTCATTCAGTTTTTACATGAATAAAAATACATACAAAACCCATAAAAATGTACTATAAGAAATGTCAAAGGATCCATATGTGTAAACTGAGATTTTAGAATTCTCACCATTGTAGAGTAGCAGGATTGTTAAAACATCAATTTTTACACATAAAAATTTGAGGAACTAAAAATTCAAGAAGGGCATAAACAGTTTACATTAAATGTTTTTGTCGTTTCATTGTGGAAATGCTCCAAAGTTTTAAGAAACAGCAGAAAAAGAAATCTAGTGATTTTCAATCAACCTCAGGATTTTACAAGTCTGTTTTCTGGCAGATACTCTATTGATCGGCATACTGATATGGACCGAATTTTCAGTATCCACTCAGAAAATGGCTCTCTTTTCACTTTGAAGACCCTTGACCGGGAAACATCCCCCTGGCATAATATCACCATTACAGCTGCAGAGATAAGTATGTCACAGAAACATCTATCATCACATTTTCTTTCACCAAAGTGGTAAAATGATGGTGCTAAGCAGACTTGTTTTCTTAAGTAGAATAATTGTATCATTAGAGATCCTAAAGGAATTATTCACAGAGGGTTAAAATCTTAAATATTATGTTAAAGATTATCAAATCATTAATTCTCTTTAAATTTGATTTTCTTGTGCAGTTTACATTAGTACAGAAATATAATCCAGTCCCATAAAAACAATCTAAGAAAATTATGTGTTACAAAATATGACTTCATCCTGCATTATATTTTCCTTCTTGCTCTTACTGTCCATTTCTCCCATGTAAGAAAGTTGAGATACTCATCAGCAATCCAATTGAGAGAGCAGATACCATAGAAATGTTCTGTTGCTAAGTTACAAATGGGGTGAGTGGTTTCATTACTTCTTTGTAAATGAGACTGAAATCTTACTCATGTTTTCATTGCAGATAACCCAAAACAAAGTAGCCACATCCCTGTCTTCATCAGAATTCTAGATATAAATGACCATGCTCCGGAATTTGCTATGTACTATGAAACATTTGTTTGTGAAAATGCCAAACCTGGGCAGGTAAATAAATTATGATAAACTTAAAAATAATATCCCTTATAAATGGAAGTGACATTGCACATTGCATTAAGTTTATTTTCTAACAATAGATTAGTAGATTTTCTAATCATTTCATTGGCAGAGAGAGAGGAAGACAGGCAGAGCAGAGGAGAGAGAGAGATGAAGCTTGTCAAATAGTTTACACTGGTGTGTTTTTAATGATCTGTGATGACTGTGGATTTTCAGAAGGCAGGCCAAGAGTCTGGAGCCCTCTCCAGGCTTCCCAATCACGCTATTATTTGAGCTATCACTCTTGCTTCCTAGGATGCCACAGTTGGAAGCCAAAGATGGATGTTGGTCCCAGGTTCTTTGCTGTAGGATCCAAGTGTCTCAGTGACTAGGCTGGACACCAGCTCTTTTAATGAGAATGCTGATGGAGAATCTTCTCCTTCCCATTTCTTAGCTTCTTGTGCTTGCACTCATCTGTGGGATTACGTGGATTATGGATTGGAACTACACATTGCTTTGCTTATTTCATTATTACTATATGTCTTTCTGCATATAACTGCATATTTATACATATATGTGAGAAGACAAAAGGAGAAAGAGAGACTCTTTCGTGCATGGGTTCATTCCCCAAATGATAACACCAGGCAGGACTGGGCTAATATTTTGCCATGAGCTAGGAGTTTGTTCTGGGTCTCTTACGTAGGTGGCACATTAGTAGGTACTTTCCCAGACACATTAGTATGAAGTTGGAGCAGAAGTGGAGTAGTCAGGACTTAGAAAAACGCCCATATGCTGCTGGTGTCATCATGATAGCTTAACCATTGCATCCCAACGCCAGTTTCCTAGCTTTGTTTTTAAGATCTTTAGTACAAAACTCTAATCATTGGGATAAAGACTTCTTTATTACAGTATGATCACATTTTCACTTGATTGTATCTTCTAATATTGTACTTCCAAACAAAAGGTTACATTTGCAAATACTGTAAATTAGGGTCTAATCATATACAATAATAATAATCCAACCTAGAGTATCCTACATGTGTCCTTCACTAACATATCATATTGTATGTCTATATTGGTTCATGTGTTTTATGATTTATTATAATTAATAAATGGAAACATACTTAATAAATATACTTAATTAAATATAAAATGAAAAATATAAAGATATACTTAATAAATAAAAATTATAATCAATATTATATAATTATAAGGTCTGCTCATTTGGCATGCCATGGAGATCTCCTTAAAATGAACAGATTAACAGTAAAAAATGATTAAGCTGCTAATTTTTATATTCTCTTAAAATGTTAAATTCTCCTGTCATCATTTCAAAATATTTTGCCATTTTGGGGCCTTTAGTGATATAAAATGTTATCAAAGATTTATTTTTATCATAATAATATCAGGTTATCAAAGTAGGGTAATTTAACAATTATTGAATTTTATATATTTTCTTTCTTTAGCTCTGATTTTACAAAGGAAAATAAACTTTAAACTTTTACTAATGAAAGAAATGCAGGGACCACATTCAGCTTATTGCTCGAAATGCTGTCCTTTATCTCAGTGACTGATTTTGCGTCCTGCATCAGTTCCTCCTTCTGGTTTTCAGGTAGTTAGCATCCTGGAAGGACACAGATGATACTTACGGCTCGGTCAACCAGTTGGGAAACCTAATTTGAGTTCCATCATCTTGTTTTTACTCTGGCATGCATTTGGGTGGGAGGTCTCTTTCTTTCTCTCTTTCTGGCACTAAAGTACACAAGATAGAAAAATAAAATGATTTTAAAAGGAGTAAGTGATTTCAATAAATATGCAATACAATTGTTCTAATAATGTTTACACTTTAAAGCCAATTTTGTCTCAAATACTTAAGTAAATTATTCATCTATCCAAAAACGCAGTAATAGATCCCTTAATGCATAGAAAGCATCCAACTATTTAACTTTCATATTCTGACTTCCAGAAAGTGTTTCCTCTTGTAAACAATGGAGCCATAGTCAAAATTAATGATAAAACAGGCTGGTAAATCACAATAGTGAAAAGAGGATATTTGGGATGATCAAATTTCTATTTGACATTACATTGAGAGGCTCTGCAAATTAACTCTTGATCAACTTTTGAAAAATACTTAGGTGTCAGACACAGAGAGCAGATGTACAGAGTTCCCAAATGTCCATAACATGTCCCCGGGAACTTCATGCAAGACTCCCTCTCCTGTGGCAGGAGCCCAGTCACCTGAGCCAGCACTGCTTTCTGGGATCTTCCTTGAGAGGAAGCAGCGGCAGAAGGCTTGGGAAGAAACCTTCCCAGTCATGCTCTTGATCACTGCTTTCGTCCTGTCCACAGCTTGAATTCTTCAGTAGATTTTGCGAACTTAAACAAAATCACATACACAGAAAAAAACACCTTGGAAAATTTTTTGAAAACGTTTCCCGTTTTGGTTTAGTTTACTGAATTCATTTCTTTCCCTTGGCTGCAGTTGATTCAGACGGTCAGTGTTATGGACAAAGATGACCCTCCACGAGGACATAAGTTCTTTTTTGAACCAGTGCCGGAATTCCCTCTCAACCCAAATTTCACCATCGTGGACAACAAAGGTACTGAACCTTTATCAAACTACAAAATATAAAATCATCAAATGGAAAACTAAGAGTGACAAGTTCTTCTTTTGTTTGCTACTTCCCCTGCTCTTTCCCAAGATAATACAGCAGGAATCATGACTCGAAAAGATGGATACAACCGCAACAAGATGAGCACTTACTTGCTGCCAATTTTGATCTTCGATAACGACTACCCTATTCAGAGCAGCACCAGCACCCTGACCATCCGTGTGTGTGCCTGCGACAGTCATGGCAACATGCAGTCCTGCGCAGCTCAAGCCCTCGTGCTCGCCACAGGCCTGAGCACGGGGGCTCTAGTAGCCATTTTGCTCTGCATCCTCATCCTGCTGGGTAAGCACAGCCACCTGCTCCTGTAATAGAACATTCTATCACTCACACAGTGACTGTATATGAAATAACGTTTTTCCTTCAAACATGAAGATTGAAGTGCTTAACTTATTTAAAAAAAATTCAATTTAATCAACGCATTAGAAATCTTTTACGTGGAAACAGTTGTAGTTTTTGACAGATCATAAACAGATACCAAGTACTGTAGGTATGTATCCACGCGCGTGCGCGTGCGTGTGTGGTGTAACATTAGCTACTGCATTTTGGAGCAACCGGGATCACTGTTCAAAAGATAGCTGATTGATTAAATGGCTCATTTAATCTTCATACCAATGCAATGCAAGTGAACACTTTCATTCTACTAGTGAGAGACTGAATGAATTTCTCAGAGTTTGAAATTTCTTTTACTAGCTTCCATGTGACAATTATTTTTTCCTTAGGATTCTCCTTTCTGTTATTCTGAAATCAAACAAACAAAAAAGGTTTTAGCAACATTATTCCACATAAGTCAAATATTCCCCATAGAACTTGTTATATGCAGATATGAAAGTTGACATTTCAGGATAATATGGCATCATAGACATAAGTAGTACTGCATTATTTTCTAAATAAAGTCTTGCTTCCAACAGCAAATGTTTTATTTATGCATACACTAGGAGGACAACACTTTAATTCAATTAAACAGTTGCTGCAATGAAAAACATTCCAAAAATTCTTTCCATCAAATATTTATCCAAAACATTACGCTTAGGGCGAAAGAGCTCGTCCAATTTATATTCTAATGCTCCTGTGTGTTGGCTCTGACTCACTGTGAAGACTTTGCAACTCTGGGCAAAATCCCTTTGGCCAAATGATTTCTCAGAGTGATTCGGACATGCTCCATCACCAACAGCAATAGCTAACCCTAGCCCCAGCTGCTGCAGAAGTCAGCTCTTCCATGAAGTATTCTGTAGAGTTCTAGAGACGCAGATTCGGATTACTGTTTCTGTGAGGAGATGCTAATTCACGCTGTGCTTTTGTTCTGTCCTACTTTAGAAAACGTGAAAGTATGCATACTGCAACTTTGAAAATGTCTGTATTTTACTAATATACAAGAAATTCATGTACGTATGGGAAACAAAAAATCACTGATACCTTTCAAGTGTCCAACATCATAGTCAATTTGATGAGTTTTTCCATCTAGAAATTCTTAAGTATTTCTTTTTTATTCTGAATAGACTCCCACTTAGGTTCTTTTCTATTTTTTTTCTATTTTTTTTTTATATTTAAACTTCCACTTTTTGCCTACCTGTAGACTGCTTTTATATTATTTTGAATAAAATTGTTTGTAACCCAGAATATTTTGTTATGAAAAATAACGAAGCGTTTTTGAAGTTTTCAACCTTTATACTAATTTTTGAGCATTGTGCATTTGCATGGTTAGCAGCAGGTGCTCATTGCAAGGCGATGATGTTGCATGGATAACAATAGAGATGTACTTGATACCTCCAGAGACTCTCTGATTTTATATATTTTATGAGGTAAAGTGAGGGGTTGAAAGTTTTCAAAAAGACATTTTCAATTTTGTTTTTCTTCTTGAAATACCTTTGATATTCTGAGGACATCAAATTGGTAGTTGGTATCTGGTAACCTGAGGAAACCTAAGGAGCTGCTCAAAATAGTACTTTAAACGGATCAGGCTAAAATGTGACATAAAAGAGGACTACATTTCTATGAATTGAAGTAAAAGCAAAAGGGCTCCCTTTGAAATTATGCACGCCATGCGTTCAGTAAGTCATAACCTACCACAATATAAAATGTGATGGTTTCTCTTGGCTAAATTTCACACACACACACACACACACACACACACACACACACACACACAGAAAGAATTCTACTGCAGTGTAGTTTATTCTATCATTCATAGGAGAAATAAGCAATGAAATTAAATTCAAGATTAGAGAAAATAATGATGGGTTTATTTGTCGGTCTCTGTCCTAGGCTCTCTGAATTCCATTCTGATAGATCCCACATTATTAATTTGACTGTAGAAAGCTCATGAAAATGAATGACCATGAATGAATGAATAATCCATGGCAATGAGTTATTTCATTTTTAAAAAGAAGAAACTTTACAAGCTCATTCAGTGAACATTATTTTCTCATTTTTGTTCGTAGTTTTAGTTGTGCTATTTGCTGCGTTGAAGAAGCAACGGAAAAAAGAACCTCTGATTATGTCCAAGGATGATGTCCGGGACAACATTGTAACCTACAACGATGAAGGTGGTGGGGAAGAAGATACGCAGGCTTTTGACATTGGCACGTTGAGGAACCCCGAAGCGCGCGAAGACAACAAACTGAGACGCGATGTGATGCCGGAAACTATTTTTCAGATACGGAGGACGGTGCCTCTTTGGGAAAATATTGATGTGCAAGATTTTCTCCATCGAAGATTAAAAGAAAACGACGCAGACCCAAGTGCGCCCCCTTATGATTCACTGGCAACCTATGCGTACGAGGGGAATGACTCCCTGGCAGGCTCGCTCAGCTCCCTGGAGTCCCTCGCCGACTGTAACCAGGACTATGACTACCTGAGCGAATGGGGGCCCCGCTTCAAAAAGCTGGCCGATATGTATGGTGGTGAGGACAGCGATCGGGGCTGATGGCTGATGACCGATAATCGTGCAAATACTATCTTCATTACTAGGCTGAACGGCCTATGATCTCCCTCCTTGTGGAAATCTTTCGAAATCAAAATTAAAACCAATCCCGAGGTGTTGTGTTAGTAAGGGTTTGCTTAGTAAGTTTCTGTGAATAAAAACAATCGACAAAGATTTATAAGTATAATGATGACTTCGCTCTCTGCCTAACAATCTTGGAAGAAAAGTATTATTACATGAATAATCACAATAATACTCAAAGAGGCTTTTTGTGCCTTTACTTAGGTATAAGAACTTTATAAATGTTTTCGTAACTTTCAGTCTCCTTTAATATTAAATTAAACATTGTGCAACTTCTTTGTAAATTACTATGAAAAAGATATATATCGCTACAGAAATAGGAATGACTATTACTGCCATATTTATTTAGTTGAAGAATGTCTTTGTGTTAATTTATTCATATTTTTATAAATGTATATTTATATTTTTGTATTTTTATGAAAGAAACTAGTATTTATAAAATAAACTTCATTTGCTGTAATTCCAATGGGCAATTATGATCTCACTTATACCCGAAGTGTTTTGCATTTTTTTTAATGTAAAACATGATTTACTCAGGGAAAAAAAAAAAACTAAGACATTACTGCATGGGATTTTGAGCTAGAATGTAATAGAATTTTTAAAAAGCTTTGTTACAAATTCTCCCTATCTCGTTTCAGTGACTTCAATCTGAAGGAATGTCTGTTGAGCTATTACTGTTGGATATACCTTAATAAAAGATGAGACACATTTGGAATATACAACATTCTATATGTCTAAATGTACGTGTCTGTGAATAATAAACTTCAAGTTTGATGCAACTCTTACTGTGAGATCATGCAATGGATTTTTTTTCTGAAAATAAAGAACATGTCAGTCATGCTATGGAGGTGACAAAACAATTAAAAACCAAATCACTCTATTCACCAATGCTATAGCTTTCAAAAAATTATAATGAGGAATTATAATTCTGATTTTTTTCCTCATAATCAGGCAGTTTGTGGAATGTATGTTCATCTCCGTGTAGCATATTTAACATGGGTATTTATATATTAGAAAGTTGTGGGGTTTTTTTTAAGATTTATTTTTATTGGAAAGTCAGATAAACAGAAAGGAGAAAAAGAGAGGAATATCTGTCCATTGATTCACTCCCCAAGTGGCTGCAGAGCCGGGCCTATCTGAAGCCAGGAACCAGCATCTTCTGGGTCTACCACACGGATGCAGGGTCCCAAGCCCATGGGCCATCCTTGAATGCTTTCCCAGGCCACAGCAGGAATCTAGACCGAAAATGGAGTCTCCAGGACATGAACTGGCCCCCATATGGGATTCTAGCACTTGCAAGGAGAGGACTTTAGCTGCTAGGCTACTGTGGATGGGCCCCATATTAGAGGTTTTCAACAAATGTCCTCATTGAGAAGTACCGAAGTCATTGCATTTGTGAAAATCAGAACTAAATTTGGTAGAGAAACCTGACGAATGTGATAATTTATTATTTTATGAGCTTGTTCTGAAAACAAACAAAAAAAATAGGCAATGAAAGGCATGTAAAACAATAAGGAAAATTTTATAAAATTTTTTTTTAATCTGTGAGAAGGTGAAATGTAGAAAAATTGCCTCAATTTGAATTGGGGAATAAGACCAATGCAAAAGATGGTAATTTCATGTAATACTACTCTTTTTTTCGCTTTTCTTTTCTTTCTTCCTTTCTTCCTTCCTTCCTTTCTTTCTTTCTTTCCTTTTTCTTTCTTTCTTCTTTCTCTTTCTTTTCCCTTCCTTCCTTCCTTCCTTCCTTCCTTCCTTCCTTCCTTCCTTCCTTCCTTCATTTCTTTCTTTCCATCAGCCTGTCCTTCTACAAGCAATAAGCAATAATACCTACATGTGCATTCACATTTTAAATTCAGATAACAGTGAGAGGGATGTCCGGATGTCTTACAAGGTTCCTGGAATGAAGAACATGATAAACATTTGTGATGATAACAAGTGAACAGTGCAACATGCATTTTGGATTTTATAGAATTTGAGAGTCAACTTTGGAACTGATTTGTGGATCAAATGAAGATGAAGGCTAGAACCAATTCAGGCAATCCCAGGAAAGAATTTGGAACAACACAAAGAAGACAGCTTTCAATTAGAGAACATCTTCTGTAAAGGGTGATTAAAGTCCACAGATCTGATTACTGAACAGAAGAACTGACCCTTTAACCAGTGAATAAAATCTTAGTTTGCAGCTTTTTTGCTTAATGTCAAGTGTATTCAATTAATCAAACCACAGTGGTGAGCCAAACACTAGAGCGACCCTTCTGCCCCATGTAACTCATACACATAAAGAAACATTTCAAACTTAGCAATATGCAAGTATTTTCTAGAGTGTTAGGACATATTTTTAGTTGCTGAAACCTCCAAATATTGCCAAGCGTAATAGAATAACATTATGATAAATGGCAATTCGTACATGTTTCCCTGGTGTTGCTTGTATTTGCACAAGACCATATTTTGAAAGCAGAAATGCATATACTATCTGTATAGGTTTGCAAATGCAAATTTTAGTTTTCATATAAAAATACACCTTGGAGTCAAAACTCAACAGAAGAGTTCTATTAAGGAAGCCTGTTGTATACTAAATATTCTTTTTCTTTAGACTTATTTATTTATTTAAATATTCTTTTACTTTCCTGGTGTAGGGTTGCTGCCTGTAATAATAGCAGCATGCTAATAAAGTGTCTTGTCTGTAAGAAATAGATCTAACAATTTCAAACCTTGTTTCAGCTTTTGATGTGTTGATGTACTCACTTAATGAAATGAGGCATCTTATCAGGAAATAATCACGTAGAACTATCTAGTCCTTACTTAGGTATTATTTATTGAATTATATTAACCTAATGAACTGATGGCAATGCTGATCTAGTGCCACTAAATAAGAGAATAAGCGTGCTTTGAATAAGTGAGTTGATTAAACTGATCTAAGCATTGGTTAATAAAATAGTAGAGAAGTTATTTCCATTTCATGGTCTGTAAAATTAATTCCTTAACCTTCAAGCTATAATGAAAGATTGAATTCTGCATTTTTTCATTATTAATCTACTCTCACACTTATTATCATGAAATTATATTAAATATTCTCAACCTTTATTCATTAAAACTTCCAAGCCATAACCATTAGTTTCGCTTGCTGAATAACAAATAATTTAGGAACAATGTTAGAGATATTTAAATGCAAATCTGTGTTAAACATAAAAGTGATCTGAATTTGTAATTTTTTTAATTTAAAATCTCCTCTAATTCACTTGAAACTAATAAAGCTAAAATACTTGCTGTTAACTCTTATGTGAGAATTTATCTGATTAGACTAGTTTGTTGCTATTTTCAGTCACTCACAATATGTTCCATCTATTCTCTAAATGCTTTATTCACCATCCATTTAAGAATAAATATGTATGCCACTACGGAGCAGAAACCCACAAATCATACAAAGTCTCAGAGCAAAAACAAATGTGTACTTAAATGTTGGCATCTATTGTACTACATTTTTGTGTATGCAGGAAGAAACTCAGTTGTGCATTGGGATCAAGGAGGAGAATATAAGTGTAAAATCTATTCATCTTTGTTGGGAAAGCTCTTTTTGCAGATTTCAAAGAAGGGTGCAAGAGGAAAAGTAATAAATATTAAATGATCAAAAGAAAATCCCAAACTAAAAAAAAATGCATTATAAGTCTCATAGGGAAGTTTCATTTTTAAGTAGAAATAGAATTTTATTATAAGCGTTAAAAAAAAGCAAAACAAGAAAAAAAGCTCATCCTTATGCTTCTTTAATTAATGAGAAAAAATACATTGATTAAAATTTAATTTAAAGTTAAATTCCAATACAGGAAAATTGACTGGAAAATGAGTTAAATTCTAGTGCGGTGGGAACTGAAATGCCAATGATGTAGTCACGTGCACAGGAACATTCTCATGTGTTCTGATCGCAAGATCTTTCTAGACAGAGGAACATCGTGAGGACAAACCCTAACAATGCCAGCGTGTAGGAGACCACACACCCAGCCAGGGAAATAGAAAGTTCTGGAAAAGAGTACCTGTCGTTCCTGCATTTCTCTTGATTCTCTTCTTCCCTTCCTTCCTCCCTTCCTTCCTTCCTTCCCTCCTTATTTTATCCTTCTCACTTTTGTAGCTATCACATGCCCATCTCATTTACTTGTCCCAGAAATTTACACAGCCATTGATGGGATCTTTGTTTCTGAAACTGTAAGATACAACGTTCCACAGAGGTCTCACTGTGAGCTGGCTAGAGGCAGAAAGGACTGTTGAATTCGAACACAAGTGAAGCTTCTCTGACATTTTCATGAAGCCAGTGTAGTATTTCTAGCGGTAAAGAATCAAACACTCACACATAAACTTAATCTATTGCTACGGTCACCTAATATACAAAAAGGTGTTTGGGTTAGATGGGACTGACAGGGTCAGTCATCGTGATCCAGGGCTGAGAGCAGAGGAGTCTTCAACAGAGACAGCAAAGGAGGGAGATCTGCCCATAGAAGAGAGGAACTCCAACTGAGCCTCACCCTGCAGCTTCTGTTCTCTGGGGGAAAAAGACATGATTATGCTATCAGACTAAATGTTGATAAATGTCTTTAGAGTCATTCAGAGGTCATTAAGAAGCAGGAGGAAGCAGAGAAACAGGGTGTGTGAACACAGCCTTACCTCTCCTGCGGTCTTAGACCACTGCAGACTTTACCACTGGAAATGGCCTTGAACTTGGCTTTATCAACCCCAAACCTTGGACGTTTCCCTTCTCAGAACAGCAAGTTCCTGTCCTCACTTTCTGTCCTTCCACTTCCTGTGGAGGTGACTAGGCACATATCATAGCAGGGACACTGAGCGTGGACAGTAGGTCCACTGCTCCCGCCACTTCTCGGCTTAGAAACGAAGATGAGGAAGTCCTGGGATGTGGTCTACTGACTGTAGCA